TTTTTTTTTTTTTTTTTTTTTTTTTAACAGAAGGACACTTCTGAGTGTTTGCTTTCATCACAGATGATTCAAGACCCCACTTTGAGCAGAACCTGATTTTTTTTTCTTCCCCTTACATCATACCTGTGATCCCAGTTGGACTCCTCTCAGTAATGAAACTGCCAGATAATTGTGTTTTAACTAGAGTCACCCAGGACCCCTCCTGTAGTCTCTGACACCCGAAGCCCTTTGCATTGCTCCTGCCTAAACCTTAAACCCTGAACCCTAAACCCTCCGCTGTCATGCTGTCATGGGTTTGATGTACTACCTCAACGAATCTGACGCCCCGCTGTAATGCTGTCATGGTTTTGATGTACTACCTCAACGAATCTGACACTCTATTCTTGCTCACGTTGCTCCGTATTCTCAAACCAGTGGAAGATTACAATGGATCCTTCGATAGTTGCTATCTTACCTTTACCAACGTGAATGTCTCACGGGCTTTCTCCGGGTTTTGTTGAGCTTGCCTTCTTGCTCTTTGCCATTGTGCCATGATATCCGTCTCCAACAGGTTGTGTACTTTCTTTGCTGCCAGTCTGTGCATTTTCCCCCTTCCTATCGTCATCTGACATCTTCTTTTCCATATGGTCCATAATGTATATTGCATGGTTGCCCCGGACCCGGACATCCAGGCACCGGACACCGGGCCCGGACCCGTGTCTGGATTAATCCGGACGTCCGGTAAACTGGACATCGATCCAGACAACCGTACATACGGACCCGGACAGTCCGGTTATGAAAGAACTGGTCCGGATGTCCGGATTAAAAAAAAAAAAAAACGCTACTGTAGTTGTGTAACTTGTGTTATCCGACTCACATACACACACAGTGCCATGCACACACACAGCTGCAAGAACAATGGAAGGGGTACCCCATGGACAACTAAAACTGTCTAATTATAAAATTGCCTTAATATGTTGGACTGTGACTGTCTCATCTCAAGTGCTCTCTTTGTCTGCAATACGAAAAAGACTGCTTTGATTCTGAATCTATTCATCTGGGTGCAATTGGGGCTGTTGGGGGGAAAATCTATAACACACACACAACCAGTTCTGCTTGGCCCGCTGAAGCTCACCCAAGATTGCAAGTACAGGCCCTTCAGGGCCGGTCCGGTTGGCCCAACGTTCCACCAAAAACTGCGCCAACAATTTTCGGGGGTCCACCAGGCACTGGAAAATTGCGTGGGGACCCCAATTTTTTTTTTTGAATTTTCTCAAAATGGGGCCCAACCGGACACCTCAAACCGGACACCGGATCCGAACATCCAGACCGGACCATCTGGATCCCAATCCGGACGTCCGGTTGACAACCATGGTATATTGTCTCAATAGTTGAAATCCTCTTTTTTGTCCCAATTGCCATTTCTTTGGAAGTTCCATACCAGTGAGGAGGATCCTCCTGTCTTTCGGAAAGGCCTCATCTGAAATCTTTCGCCACAGTTCCCTGGCTTCTTCCCACACGTAGGCCGCCTCTGGGCATTGCAACGTGCAGTGAAGCAGGGTTTCCTTCTCTTCATCAGTGCACAGATTGCACTTCTGGTTGATCTGATCCCTCTGATTATGGCCTCGGCGCTCATACAGCCAAACGTTGACCGGGAGCACTACACGGAAAATCAGCCATTGTAAACTTTTGACCCTGCCTAACCTTATACTACTCAATGCTGACCACGGAAGACGAGAGACTTGCGCCTTGGGCACTTCCAACCTCCGTTCCCATCGATTAGCCAGTGATTCCGCCAGTGGGTGAGACCTCCTTCTGAGCCTGTACCCCAATTTGGTTGTATAGTGAAGTATGCTTACTCTTCTGGCAACCCTCAGAAAACCTCCCTTGAGATTCCATGTCTTATCCAATTGACTGGTGTTGATCCCTACTTCTTCTATTGATAACATATCAGCCAACAACCATGCATCCCCTGGGCCCGTCTTACCCCTTGTTCTAAAGGCCACTTCTGGTTTATCCTCGTGCAACCACGTGGCCCAGTCACCGTTTTCCCAATTCGACTCCTTTTCTAGCAGGTTGACCCATACTGGTGGTATGGAGATAAGAACATCATTCAGGCTCTCTATCAATTTGTGGGTACCCTTCATCTCGTTCCGAAGATCTCTTGCCGTCTTCCATCGCTGTTTGTCGTCTGACCATAAATGCCTAACCTGCCAGACTCCATGTTCCACTCATGTTCCCCGTTTAGAATCTCTTGCTGTCAGGGTACGCAGCTTCCCTTGGTGATCCTTAATCCAAGGATTGCAGAAAAGTGGTTGACAGAGAACCTCCTCTCTGTTCCTAGGTTCTCTTACTCTTGCTGGGAAATGTGCCCCCAAAGCTTGAGGAGTTGTGCCGAATAAGAGCGATCGCTCTTGTCAGTTGCCCCAGGTGTCCGTTCACCTTCGCTCCTACTTTTCCTTGCCCAGCCTTTGCTCAGCACCCATAACAGCCCTGTCATGTTGGCCTGTGTTTTGTACTTAACCAGTCTTCTAATGTGTTCTAATGCGAGAGAAGCCCAAGGCAGTTGAGGATGGGTGATAAGCTTCAAAACCCACTTCGTTTGCAACGCCTTCATCTGTTGCCCCGGGTCTAATATGGCCAATCCCCCTTGCTCTTTTGGTTTGATTACATGCTTCCAGGCTACCTTAGATATGACATTTTGTTTACTTGAGTTTGCTGTCCATAGGAAAGTTGCCGGCCTTCTTCTTAACTCACTAATTGACTGATCTGGCGGTGTCCAAGTCGAGTCTACATACCACAACATCGAAAAAATGGAGGCGTTTAGGATTAACTCTCTTCCAAACAAGGAAGTATAAATTGCTGCCCAAGCACTTAGCTTCGTCAGAATTTTTGCTAAAATCTCTGAAGCCATTGAGTGGTGCGGCCCTGCTTCAGCTACCCTAATTCCCAAATAATGTAGCGGTTCCCCTACTGTTGACCACTGCATTCCTTCCGGGGTATTAACCGGTCTCTGTTCTTCTCCTTCTCCATAGTGCAGCCACCATCCTATAATCTTGGGCCAGTTTGTTCTCATTTCGGATGCAAGCTGGAAAGCAAGCATTGCTCGAGTGAGAGCCTCGAAGGATGAGCTCAAGGCACGAATAAGCACCGTCAGGTCATCAGCAAAAAGGAGTGTCGTTGGCAAGTGAATCAGTGTACCCTGCTGATTCGGTTCGGCTATCAACCGTTGGATGGAGGGATCCTTTCTGAGAAATGATGCCACTGCTTCCATTATGAACAAAAAAGATGGGGGTTGCTAAGGGGTCCCCCTGTCTGACCAATCTCGACATCCCATAGCTCTGAGACAGGTGACCATTCACTTGAACCTGCTCGTGTGCATCATTGTATAAGACCCGTATCCCTTTTCTGAAATTAGGTCCGACCCCCATCATTTCCATACACTGCTGGAGGAAACACCAATTTACTTGGTCATATGCTTTCTCAAAGTCAAAGAACAGTATTGCCGCATTCTCTTATCCTTAATGTAGCGAACTGATTCCGTCAAAGTCGTAATGTTGTCCAGTATAAACCGGCCTGGGATAAAACCAGTCTGATCCAAATGAAAACAGCCCCTTGTAACGTTACTGAGCCTTTTAGCCAAGGCTTTCGCTACTATCTTGTGTGTGAGTGTAAGCAAGGTAATGGGCCTGTAATTCCTTATATCTGCAGGATACCGTTTTTTGTACAACAACGTGTCAATCCCTATGGCCGGATCCTGGCCTAGCCCCTCTGCCTGCCAGGCCTTTTCCAAGTATGCCATATATTAGCTCCCTAGGATTGGCCAATATTCAAGCCAGAATTCCCTGGTCAATACATCTTTCCTTGGGGTGTTATTAGGTGACATTGACTTTAGCGCTTCCCACAGCTCCTCCTGAGTCAGTGGTGCTTCTAGAATCATTGCCTGTGCACTAGGTACTGACCTTTCTAGGTGGGCTAAGGACTTTGATCTGGCTCCTTGCACCTGCTGTTGCAAATATTCCGACTCCCTAGAAGTATATAAAGTGTTCAGCCACTACAACCATCTCCTTCGGGTTTGATACCCACCCTTCAGATGTTTGAAGTCGTTCTATTAGTGAGCTTCTGCCTTTAGACCAAATTTTTTTGAAAGAAGTATTTAGTCATTCTTTCTCCTTCCTCCCATTCCCTGACTCTTGCCCTCATCTGTAGCCCCCTGGTCCTCCACCGCTCCCATGCTCCCAACTCCTCTCTTGCTGCGTGCCAGATTCTTTCATACAAGTCTGTACCTGAATTCTTAACTAGGTTACTATCTGCTATTCGCAATGCTTGTTGAAGCTCAGCTTCCCGTGCTTTCCTTTTGGTCGCTAGCTGCCTAGCCGCTGCCGCCGAAGCTTGACTCATAGCTTTCAGGAGTTTGGGAAGGATTGATTACCGAGTCAATGAGGCAAGACTGCAAAATGGCCTGCCTCATTTCATGGGTTTGAAGAATCAAATTGTTTACCTTATAGAATCCTTTATCTCTCCTGACTTGCTTATCTTTGAACAAATAGAGAAAAATAGGTTTATGGTCCAGTCCACTAAAATAAGGAAGGTCGCCTATACCCATTGAATGGATCATTTTTATGACTGTCTGTGAGATCAAGAAGTAGTCTATTCTCGATGCCGCGACATGTTGACTCCTATTCTTCTTATAGTAGGTAAACTGTCTGTCCTCCGGATAGTACAATCTGTATGGGTTAGTCAAGTCAAAGGCGATCATCATGTTATGAACTGGAAGTGCCTCTTCTCCTAACGTGCTCTCACCCGTGCTGTATCCCCCTGACATTCTATCCCGGGCTGGTCCCAATGCGGCATTCCAATCCCCTGCTAATGTAATATGCCTGGTGGGTTCTATTAAGGCTTCCAATTCCTCTAAAAGCTGTATTCTTGCTTGGAATGTGTTGGGCCCATAGATAGATACGAGACTGAAGCACTCTTCCAGGAAAAGAAAGTTCAACTTCACCCATCTACCTTCCCTGTAATCCACCCTCACTTCTTCTATCTTCAGATACTTCGTTGAGAGGGCCCTCTTGTTTTGAAGAATCGCCACTCCCGCCGAATGTGGGTGTGGTGTCGGTGCCCAGAAGTCTGCTGCCACCCATCTCAATCTTTGTAAAATCCTATTCTTGACTTGCTCATGTTCTTCTGAGGTGGTCAAGTGAGTTTCTTGTAAACACACGGAAGTCTGGCGGACCCTGGTCAAACCATCATAAATACTGTACAAAGTTGTTCCACTTGTCCGGGTTGTCCAAAATCTGTACCAGCCCGTTTATATTCCAGGAGACTACTCTGAACTCCGGCTCCTTCCTTGGCTGTGCCCGAACCTTTCTTCTACGCTTCCCTTGTTGGCCTCCTTCGCTGTCCTGCATTGCGAATTGTCATCCCCTGTCCGCCCTTCTTTCATTGGGAAGTGTTCAAGACGCTATCTCTAATAGATCCAACCTTGTTGCTCCCCTTGCGATCCTCTTCTCAATGTACTCTGGGTGCCACTAAAAGGCATCAATTTTTACTCCTAACGCCGCACTTCTGGCCACCCATTCTGCCGCCACCAACCTCCCTAACAGTCCATAGGGAATGGTCTCCACCACCTCCCATGGCATCCATATCAGGTCCTTACTCAACTTCGCCGTTTCCTGCAGCCTGAACATTATTGGCCTGTAATCCTCTGTCTGTACTGTGCCCGCTGTGTCTGCACTGTCCTCCTTTTCCTTCTTCCAATTGTAACCTATTTCAATTTCTTGTTTGCATTTTTGCATGTTAAGATTCTTTAGAAAATGCTTTCACTGGCTGGCTAAATTTGTTGTTTTGGTTGTGGACCATGGTGCATTTTTCCCCCTCTTACCTTAGGTATACAAAAGAGTGCTTGATAAGCCGACCACTGAGCACCGTATCGCTGGCATCTGTATGAGAGAGAACCCTTTCTATGTGGATACTGTCAAGAGGTAAGTTCAGTTCTTTCTAACTTTGTAGAGAATACACTGCCGGATGTTGATGACATAGTTACAATAACTTGTCAAGTTGTGAGTTAATATTTTGGCATTTTCGTAGCTGATCGCCATACCGGGGACGCCCAACCTGTATATGTTCTTACTTGAATACATTTCGAATGCTCCGCTACTTTGTCTCATGTGTATTACATGTTGACGTGTGGATTGATCATTTCATATTCTATGCACTGATCGGCAGTGATCGCCATAAACATTCTTATTTTTACAAAGAAACCCTTCCCCTTTTATTATAAACGGGCCCAGTGCCCAAGGATGTTTTTGCATTCAAAAGCCAAAATCATGAGAACATTACTTGCACGGTTGCACCTATGATTTGACCTGAGCACCTGTTTTTTTTTGTTGAAAAAAACTAGCCTTGGCAGCTAGGGTTGCTGGTATGAGCAGACACCTCTATCTCCCCTGGGGAGGCTCCATCTATTGGTGGGGAGCAACACCTGGCGGAAATTGGGTCCACGTCCCCCACACGACATTCATTACGGTTTCGCTGCATTGTTCCTGAACGCCTGCCACATTGATTACCCTGAAGACAGGGGATTGACTGAGCAGGAGGATGAGTGTTCAAGTTGTACCTTAACTTCTTGTTGGTGATAACTTTCTGTGGCAGCAGTGAGGGTCATGGCGAAATCCTCCCTGTCACAATGTTACTGCTGTCAATCTCACCGCTGCTGGTGATGCAAATCGATGGCCGAGAATTATCACGTGTTGTTTCATGTGCTCGGGGCAAATAGGCTGGGGCCTTTGTGACTCAGCTTATCTACCCCTGCAATGTGCTGCGTCTTTTTTCTTTTTAGGTTGTTTCATTTTGTGTGGGCAAGCAAAAAAGGACCTGTGGGCTTGCAGAATGGGTATCATCTGATCACCTGTACAGGGGTGCAGACGAAGCTCGTCCAGGATGTGGACTTCTCGAGGCCTGTCCAGATTTATCTGGATATTATCAAGCAGTAGTAAAATGAAAATAAATTAAAATAGTGTCACATCATCTCACATGTATTGTCCTGCATAGCATGGCGAATGTGTTCGCGGGCCTTCCCGGTCGGGCGAACACGTTCTCGCGAACGGGTCGAGAAATGTTCGCGAGAACATGTTCTCGAGGCCTGCGAACGGGTTTCCCCCGGGCCGGTACTGGTCGCCGGCGGGGTTCCGGAGTGTAACGGGAGTGAGGCTGAGGGTGAGCCGAGGGAGAGGAGAGAGAGAGGGAGAGAGTGAGAGCACACACACACACTCACTCACTCGACACGACGGACTCGGACTGAGGGTTGGACGCAGACACAGTAGCAAGGCACAAAGTCGAAGTCTTGGATTCCCAATGCCGAAACGGCAAGTCACACTGAGTACAAGTACAGCAGCAGAGAACTGGTACGAGACTGSYCCCCGTACCGTACGGGGAGCCGGTATAAGTACCGGTGACACGTACGGTACCAGGGGCATTTCTGCAAAGGCCCCGAGGGCAGAACTGAAAAATGCAGTATTTGAAAGTGGCGCCCGAATTGCAGCATGGCGCCAGTTGTCCAAAATCCTACGGTACCAAAGGAGGGGTTTGGAAAAAGGGTGCCAGGCCGAAAACGGGATGCAGCCGAAACAGCAAAAGATAGACCAGGGATCGAGCCCTGGCGAAGTCCGTAACACGGAGGGCCTGGGGAGTGTCGATGGTCGTCCGTGGGGGGGGGGCTCGGGCGCGGGAATTGGGTCCAGGTAGAGGAGCTGGGGGGGGGATGGGTCAGTTTCAAATTCGAATCATTCGAAACTGCCCTCGCATGGTCCCGCGCTCCAGCCGCTGCCACGTCCCGCGCCCATCGCTGTAAGGTAATCCTCCTCCTCCTCCTCCTCCTCCTCCTCCTCCACCAGGACCTCCATCTCCTCCTCGTCGTCAAGTCTGACCGTCGTCCTGCGGTTGCCACGTCAGCACGGTCGACCGTTTTTTTTTCGTTTTTTTTTTTTATCTTCTTCTTCCTCTCTTCTTCGTCACATCTTCTTCTTCATCGTATTCTTCTTCTTCTTCTTCTTCTTCTTCTTCTTCTTCTTCTTCTTCTTCCTTCCTATTCGTCGTCATCGTCCTCCTCCTCCTCCTCGTCCTCGTCCTCTTCCTCCTCCTCCTCCTCCTCCACCTCCTCGATCTCATCCTCCTCGTCAAGTCTGATCGTTGTCATGCGGCTGCCACGTCAGCACGCGCGACCTTTTTTTTGTTTTTTTTTTCTTCTTCTTTTCCTCCTCCTCCTCGTCGTCGTCTTCCTCCTCCTCCTCCTCCTCCTCCATCTCCTCCTCCTCGTCAAGTACGATTGTCGTCGCGCGGCTGCCAAGTCAGCACGCGTGACCTTTTTTTTTCCTTTTTCTTTAATCTTCTTCTTCTTCTTCTTCTTCTTCTTCTTTTCCTCCTCCTCCTTGTCCTCCTCCTCCTCCTCCTCCTCCTCCTCTTCCTCCTCTACCTCCTACACATCTCCTCATGAAGTCTGATCGTCGTCGCACGGCTGCCACGTCAGCACGCGACCTTTTGTTTTCCATTTTTTCTTCTTCTTGTTCTTGTTCTTGTTCTTGTTCTTCTTCTTCTTCTTCGTCGTCGTCGTCATATCTTCTTCTTCTTCTTCTTCTTCTTTTTCTTTGTTATGATCCTGGCCAATTTCGAGATACACATTCATCAGATAGTACAATGCCGTCCAATTGCAGAAAGAAATGAATGAACTTGAGAGGAGAGAGAACATTAGAAGAAGAAGAAGAAGTAAGAAAGAAGAAGACGATGATGTACACCAGCATAGACAAATGACAAAGCTCTTCTTCTTCACTCAACTCTCTCTTCCTCCTTATCTCCTCCTCACTTGTTCACACAAGAATTAATAATACAATGTTGAATAGCTGAACCAGAATCAAAGTCCGAATCCCTCTTCTACTGCAGGTATCACTTGAGGTCCACCATAGCCACGACCGTCTCTCCCACTCTTCACTCTCATAGGCCGAGGCTATGGCGGACTATTAGGCCTTGCCCAAATGCCCAAAGGACAACCCAAAGCAGCTATGGCTGCTCTAGCTCAGGCTGCCATGCCTGACCCTGCCAAGCTTCTTGGTGTAGCTCAACCCCAGCTGGGGCCTTCCTGCTGCAGCGCCCACCAAGGTGATGAAGATGGCTGCCATCATAGCCAGGTAAGTACCTCTGGCGCTCCTCCCCCTTCCTATCCTACTTCCTCCTTCGAGTCCTTGCTTCTTGCCAGCAGCGCTGCTCCAAGCTAGCCCTGCTCCAGCCAGCGCTCCAACCAGTGTGTCGCCAAACTTGCACACCAACAATGAGGCTGGGCTCTTCGCCCGGCCTGGAGATATAGCGGCCTGCTTGCCTCTTGGGCGGTGACTTCCAGGCCGCTCGGCCTTCCCAGGCAACCGGTACCTCCTCTCTTTCGGAGGGAAACATCATTGCAGACTCTGATATTGCCCGTACAGGCCCTAGACTCAGACTGGTTGGACTGGTACCCGCCTAGACCTAGCCTACAACTACTGGGCCTCTTCAAAATGCCACTTTTGTCTTCTTCTGCTTGGCCTCCAGTACCCGCACATCTACCTCGTCAGGGTGCGGTACCGGCCTATCTGCTACTTGAGTGTTTCCCCCCGCTGCAATCCCTCAATGTCACGGCCACAGGTAAGTACCGGCCCTGAGGGCCCAACGAACGAACAAGTGCCCTTGGGGGCCACACACACACTCAAGCCAACCAGCACTCAGACAGACATGCAGTCCAGCAAGCGTGCATCGACACAGACTTAGAGAACTTAGTAGCAAGCGGGAAACTCAGCAAGGCCTTCAGTCAATGAGCAAAACTCATAAATCAGCTGTGTTTCAGTCCATGCTTGGTCGGGTCATCACACTACTCCCCCCTCGAGAGCGAGGTCCCTTCGAGCGAGTAACTCATTCTGAGTCCCCGACAAACACATCATAGGCAAACGAGGCAAAGAGATTTCGAGAATACTCTGTCGCAGTGTGCTTGGCAGAGATTTTAGGTGCATCATTAGAGGCGATTTGTCGCTCGTATGCTTTAACAACTCGCGGTGCACCTGCAGCAGTTCCTGCTTGGAAATCCAGTATAGATCATCCAACGGGTGATACATGAAATGGACCTGGTACTGTCTGTTTCGTCCCTTCCCTACGTGCTGTTTAATCCTGTCTATCTCATGTCCGCCATTGACTGCACGAGGAATCATGTCGTCACGATAATTGAACGATTTAGCATCACGATGTAGATACAGTTTTGATGCATGAAAAACGGGATAGGTGCGCAGATGAGGTGGCACAGCAACTACGTATGAAGGGCCAAAGCTATCTTCGCCAATCACATCCAGAACTTCCCACAGACCATAATAGAGTGGGAGAAGTTTGCGTCATACTCCCTCTTCTTCTGAAAATTCAGACAGCCTGACCGAGACATAACTTCCCACTTCAATATCTGAAGGACGACGCTTCTTGTTTGCATAATGGATCTTGGCGTGCTGTCACTTGGTCATTGCTGGAATGGCAACTTTGAGCAAGCGATCGTACTCAGCCCTGAAGCCAGGCCTGCCGGGCGTTAAACCAGATGGCTGCTCAGGGAATAGGTAGGAGAGCGGATTACGAATCTGCCAATCATAATGCAGCCTGTTTGGTGTCATGCCGGTGGCAGAATGGATGGAGTTGTTGTACAACCCCTTGACGGCATACAGCTCTTCATCCCATGTTTCCTGATCTGAAATGATTAAAACGCAAAGAAGTTGGAACACCATCTGGTTTATTTCCTCAGCCAAACCGTTGGCTTCAGGGTGTCGGCCAGATGTCATGCATAGCCTGAAGCCAAGGAGTTGGGCCGTGAAGTTTTTCCATTCCGTACTGGTGAAGCGCGGGTCCCGATCACTCACGAGAGTTTTCGGGGTTCCGATGTCGAGCGCATTGGCCTTTTCTCTTGAAGAGGCGGGAACCCTCTCGGCCA